TACATATCTATATTCAATGATCAAAAGTAGGAAATTTAACAAATTCCCCAAAATAGTTTTCTTTCTTTCTTTTTTTTAAAGATTTTACTTATTTATTCATGAGAGACACACAGAGAGAGAGAGCGAGAGAGAGAGAGAGAGAGAGAGAGAGAGAGAGGGAGAGACATAGGCAGAGGGAGAAGCAGGCTCCTTGCAGGGACCCCAATGTGGGACTTGATCCCAGACCCTTAGGATCATGCACGGAGCCAAAGGCAGATGCTCAACCACTGAGCTGCCCAGGAGTCCCAACAAAAATAGTTTTCAAATTCAAATTTCTTAAGTATTTTAAAAAATATTTATTTATTTATTTTGAGAGTGAGAGAGGAGGGGCAGAGGGAGAGAGAGAATCCCAAGCAGACTCCCTGCTGAGTACAGAGCCCAATGTGGGGCTCATCTCATGACTCAATCTCATGACTCTGAGATCATGACTTGAGCTGAAACCAAGAGTCAGACACTTAACTGACTGAGCCACCCAGGCACCCCTGAATTATTTTATTTTTTTCCCCTGAATTATTTTTAATAATTTTTTTGTTTTGTTTTGTTTTGTTTTTTTTTTAGAGCTATCCCCTTTTCTAGCAGGACTATGACCAAAAACTTAATTTTGTGTGGCTTTCCAATTTCTCATGGATTGTATTTAGGAATCAAGACATGGTTTGTAGCCCAAGGTCATCTAATCTGGGCTTAGTAAGGGAAGCAGCATTGCTATGAATGGACTGAAGTCTTTGCTTCCCATCCCCATTGATGACTTAGCCACATGTAGTGCTGACATCCTGGCATCCATTCTGCCTCTGGAGAAGCACAATTCTTACCCTGCTTTGTCAAGCCCAGATACTCCTCTGCTGGCAGGGCTGCTTGGTCTTTCTTTGAAAAGTATATCTGCTCATGTCCCTCTCCTGGTCAGCACCTCACCCAACTGTAGCCTGGCACATAGGCCCTTAGAAGTGGGTCTCCACTTCCTTGCTCTTCCTTTCTTGCCACATCCTGTCTCCTTGTGTTCTACCCAACATGCCTTTCTCTGAAGAGACTTGTATTTTCTTGCCTCTGTGCTTCTGTACGCATACCTTGCCCTGTCTGGGGAATGCTCTTCCCTTGTCAAATTTTTCTTGTGTCTCCCCGCCCCCCCCCGCAAGGCCTAACTCTAGTACAAAATACCTCAATTCCCTGTTCAGAAATGATTGCTATCCTCTTTGAGCTCTGATCAGCATGGCTGTGTACCCTTGTATTTAGTACTTTTGTTTGGCCCTTTATTAGAGTTGGTTGTCTATGAATCCGAATCTGGCTTTTCTGTCTGTGAGCTACCTTGGGCAGAAGCCACATCTCTTTTTTTCCTTTCTCTGGCTTTGCCTTGGGGAGGCACTGGTGACTGATGAAAGAATGACTAGCACTCATTACCCTGCATGAGAGGGGCAGGCATTTGGTTATAGAGATGATGCATGTAAGTGTACATTAACTGCCCAAAAAATCATAGTAGGTTTTATTATTGCTGCTAATGGTGTAATTATTGGTAGACATGTTATATTCCAAATAGCCAGACCCACCCAGTTAGTGACTCATGAAATAGGGAGCAGCACAATCATAATCCAACCTCTTTATTATCCATATGAGGAAATAGGCCTGCAGAGGATCAGGCACTTCTTTCAGACCTCACAAGTCAGAGCCCTGCCTCCTGGCACTGGACTGTTTTGCCTTGTGGCATAATTACTCTCCTTCAGGGGCACCTGGGTGGCTCAGTGGTTGAGTACAATCTGCCTTTGGCTCAGGTTGTGATCCTAGGGAGCCTGCTTCTCCCTCTGCCTGTGTCTCTGCGCCTCTCTCTCTCTCTCTCTCTCTGTGTGTCTCTCATGAATAAACCAAATCTTAAAAGAAAATCTTTTATCCATGGCCCTATTGTACTTCATTGCAGTAAAAAATATATATATATTATATTATATTATATTATATTATATTATATTATATTATATTATATAGTATATGACTATACTGCTTGGGACAGCCCGGGGGTCTCAGAGGTTTAGTGCTGCCTTCAGCCCAGGGCATGATCCTGGAGACCTGGGATCGAGTCCCACGTCAGGCTTCTTGTGTGGAGCCTGCCTCTCCCTCTGCCTGTGTCTCTCTCTGCCTCTTTCTGTGTCTCTCATGAATAAATAAATAAAATCTTAAAAAAAAAAAGGACTATACTGCTTCATGGGTAAGTAGAGCAGAGAATTTTTAGGACAGTAAAACTACTCTATATGAACTATGATGGTAGATACATGTCAGTATACATTTGTCTAAAACTGTAAAATGTACACACCAAGAGGGAATCGTGATGTGAACTAAGGCCTTTTTTAAAGTTTTATTTAGCCGGACATGGGACTCGGTTCCCGTCTCCCAGATCAGGCCCTGGGCGGAAGGCGGTGCTAAACCACTGAGCCACTGGGGCAGCCCTGAACTATGTGGTCTTTGAGTGATAATATATCAATGTAGGTTCACCAGTTGTAACATATGTACGACTTTGGTGGTTTGGTGAGGGATATTGATAATAGGGGTGGCTGTACATGAGTGGGGGCAGAGTGTTTAGGAGCTATGTCTATACTTTACCCCTAAATTTGCTATGAGTCTGGGGCACCTGGATGGCTCAGTGGTTGAGCGTCTGCCTTCAACTCACGACCTGATCCCGGAATCTGGGATCGAGTCCCACTCTCTCACTCTCTCTGTGTATCTCAAGAATAAACAAAATCTTTTAAAAAAATTTGCTGTGGATCTAAAACTGCTCTAAAAAAGTAATGTCTAGGGATCCCTGGGTGGCGCAGCGGTTTGGCGCCTGCCTTTGGCTCGGGGCCCGATCCTGGAGACCTGGGATCGAATCCCACGTCAGGCTCCCGGTGCATGGAGCCTGCTTCTCCCTCTGCCTGTGTCTCTGCCTCTCTCTCTCTCTCTGTGACTATCATAAATAAATAAAATTAAAAAAAAAACTAAAAAAAAAGTAATGTCTATTTTATTTTTAAAGTATTTTATTTATTTATTTGAGAGAGAAAGATATCAGGAGCAGAGGGGAAGGGCGGAGGGCGAAGCAAACTCCCTGCTGAGTAGGAAGCCCAATGTGGGGACTGCATCCCAGGACCTTGGGGTTACAACCCTAGGGGAACACAGATGCCCAGCCAACTGAGCCACCCAGGTGCCCCTCTATTATTTTTTGAGGCAGAGAGAGTGTGAGCTGGTGGGGAAGGGGCAGAAGGAGAGAGAGAGAAGCTGACGGTGGAGTCCGACTGGGGCCTCCATTTTATAATCCTGAGATCATGAGCTAAGCAGAAATCAAGAGTCAGTGGCTTGGGACATCGGGTGGTTCAGTGGTTGAGCCTCTACTTTCGGCTTAGGTCGTTGTCCTAGGGTCCTGGGATCAAGTCCTAGGATCGAATCCCACATCCGGCTGCCCGCAGGGAGCCTATTTCTCCCTCTGCCTATGTCAGTGCCTCTCTCTGTGTCTCTCAAATAAATAAAATCGTCAAAAAAAAAAAAAAAAAAAGGAGTCAGTGGCTTAACTGAGATACCCAGGTGCCCCCAAATTGTAATGTCTATTTAAAAAATACATATGCAAATTTATACTGAACGTTTTCTTCCCGTGGCTATAATTCTTTTTTCTTCCAGACAGAGTTACCATTACAACTGTAATTCATACAGCGATGAACATCACATCATGATCAGACAGCGAACTGTATTAGAAAGACTTCCATCGGGGGATCCCTGGGTGGCGCAGCGGTTTGGCGCCTGCCTTTGGCCCAGGGCGCGATCCTGGAGACCCGGGATCGAATCCCACGTCAGGCTCCCGGTGCATGGAGCCTGCTTCTCCCTCTGCCTGTGTCTCTGCCTCTCTCTCTCTCTGTGACTATCATAAAAAAAAAAAAAAAAAAAAAAAAGACTTCCATTCGGGGCTCCCCGGGGGCTCAGCGGATTAGCGCCTGCCTTCCGCCCAGGGTGTGATCCAGGGGTCCCGGGATCGAGTCCCACATCAGGTTCCCTGCCTGGGGCCTGCTTCTCCCTCTGCCTGTGTCTCTGCCTCTCTCTGTCTCTCATGAATAAATAAATAAAATCTTAAAAAAAAAAAAAAAGACTTCCATCTTTGAGAACTGGTTGGCGTTTCTCGTACCTTTGAGTTACCTAACGGACCATGAACGTGGTCTCCGGGGTGTTATTCCAGGTGGCAGCACATTTTCATAAGATTTGGCGAGAGGATGCCTGTGTCTCTGCCTCTCTCTCTCTCTCTCTCTCTCTCTCACTGTGTGCCTATCATAAATAAAATAAAATAAAAAAAATCTGTCCTTTAAAAAAAAAAAAGATTTGGCGAGAGGAGAGGTAGACTTGCATTTGACGGGGTGGGAGAAGGGCCACTGGGCAAGGAGAGGACGAAAGGAGAACCGCAAAGACGAGCAACCTCTTTGTAGATCAATTTTATTTCATTTTTAAGATTTTTACTAATTTATTCATGAGAGACACAGAGAGAGGCAGAGACACAGGCCGAGGGAGAAGCAGGCTCCCTGCAGGGAGCCGGATGCGGGATGCGGGATGCGGGACTCGATCCCGGGTCCCCAGGATCCCGCCCCGGGCGGAAGGCGGCGCTAAACCGCTGCGCCACCCGGGCTGCCCTGTAGAGCGATTCTAGGAAGCAGGGCGTGAGCAGGCTGATTAACGCGGAGACTTCGTACGTCCACCGCCCCTGGAGAACCTTCCATGCCCGCGGGTGAAGGCGCACCCAGACGGAAAACCGAGGCCCTTACGTCATGGGGCCTCGGGAGCCCCAGACCCGCTCTGCGGTGCCCTCCCAGGCCCAGCCCTTCCGGGGGGGGCGGGGGGCCCGTCGGAGCGCCACTGCGCGCTCCCGCCGCGCCCGGCCCCGCCCCCCGCGCGCCCCCGCCGCGCCCCGCCCCTTCCGGTCCGGGAAGGTTTGATTTCCTTGGCGGGCGGAAGCGGCCGGAACCCGGCAATTCCAAAGCTTCCCAGGGGCTCTGGGCGCTGGCTTCTCCGCTCGGGACCGCTGGCCGGCTCCGGTGTGCTTCTGCCCGGCCCCGCCCCTCCCGGCCCTCCGCCCCTCTCAGGTCAGTGTCTCCGCCGTAGGTGAGGGCCGGGGTCCCGGCTGTGACGCGGCGCGGGGGACCTGGAGAATTTCTCCGGAGCCCCACCTTGCGAGCCCACTTCCCGGATGATCTAGTGAGGCTTCCCGCCCCCCGGTTTTCTCCTCTGTGAGTGGGGATAATGATCGTCTCTAACTCGGAGTTATTGATGAGGCGCAGGCAAAGCGTTTGCCACTAAGGGGCTTGGAGAGTCGTGAGTTCCCACATTACACGTGTCCGTGACCCAGTCTCCGCGGAAGAAGGTGGAGGAAGGGTTCCAAGTTATTTCTGTTCTTACAGCCCAGGGCACTGGGGCAGTGCAGTTCAAGAGGAAACTGTTATGTTGTTACCGCCCCCTTTTCAGAGTCCAGATCCTTCTTCCCCCTTCACTGTCCCCAAGTAGTGGCTTAAGAAGGCTCACGCCAAAAGGGACATGCCCTGACTGCCAGAGCAGTAGAAGGAGCAGTACCCCCAAGAAACCAGCGGGGAAAAGGGAAACTCCCAAAGGAGAGCGTCCCAAGAAAGCGATCAGTCCTATAGCACCTAGGATGAGTAATTGTTCCTGAACTTCACCTCCGATGTTTCTCTTTGGTAGTGGGATGGGGAGGGGGGGAGTGGCGGCGGGTTTGAGAGGTACCTGGAGTTTTGCTTGGAAGTCAGTGTGCTCCAACTTTCTTGTTCATGTTTTGGTTTCTGCTTCCCATGTTTGGGGAGAAATCAGAAAGTCCCTTACTGCATCGTCATTGGGCTTGTTTCACCAGCGGATCTGCCTTTCTTACCTACTGTGGACCAGCCAGATGAGCAGATGAATCCCTTAACGCCTTTAGGAATGAATGCCTCTTCGTTGGTGCCCCTAGAATCCTCTGCGAGGCAGAAGGACAGGATGTTAATTAAATGTATCAATTACAAGGCCACATTATATACCATTCGGTATTCTTCTTATTTGAAATATCCTCAGCATAGTATCTTAACCAAGCTCATCGATGAGGTAAATGTATTACCCAGCAGGTAATAGCATAGCCCGGATAATATCATTAGTAAGAAATTGCCTCCAATTTGTTGCTCTTCTATAAAATTTGGTGATAAACCTTCTGTTACCTAAGCAGTTGCCCCAGAGAAGTTCAAGATACTAAATGTATATGCCTCCAATTCTTCTATGTGGTCACACTGAGAACGACATTCAGGTATCCAAGTGGGGCCTAGTTTTCTTCAACATTATCCACAGTGGAGAGGCTGCCTTCCACAATGATCATATATCTTTTTTTTTTTTTTAAGATTTTATTTATTTATTCATGAGGGACAGACAGAGAGAGAGAGAGAGAGGCAGAGACACAGGCAGAGGGAGCCTGATGTGGGAGTCAATCCCAGGTCTCCAGGATCAAGCCCTGGGCGGAAGGTGGCACTAAACGGCTGGGCCACCAGGGCTGCCCTCAATATCTTTTTAAAGCAGCTACAGAGTTAGGTTACTCCAGCCCCATCCTTCCTATGTTCTATACTTCCAAAGTCTAGAGGATAAACAGAGCACTTAAGAATATTTAGAACTAGCTCCACAAAAGCCAAGTAAAATCTGCTGTCATTTGTACCAGTTTGCAATGCAAACTTTCTACAGTAGCAAAAATGATGGTTACTGGATTCAGTAGATTTGATTGAGGCCCACATTTGTATTACTCATCCAAAAATATGGTGTAATTTGAGGATGGGGGGGATGTAGATAAAGAGAAGAAAGAGAAAGAAAAGGTGCTTGTCTTATATTGGTGTAAGTTGATCTTTGTTAGTTGATTTGGGGCTGTGACCTGGAAGTTCAAAACTCATTTGTGTTAATTGTGAATTCTTGTATCTCTCATCTGGGGAAGTGAATTCCAAGGTCATACAAAAGGTTGTCTCCTTTTGAATGTGTCAACAGAGTTCAATCTTTTGTATGGAATTTAGACATGTGCACTTGGCAGTTAGGATTCTTATATTTTGCGAGGCCTCTGTCAATTTCCATCTCATGGTTTTTAAGCTTTGAAATGTCTCTTTGTGTTTTCTCTTTAGCCTCTGTGTTCTGAATACCTCAATACCCCAATACTGCCTAAGCTGGGGCTTTGCTCTCTAATGAACCTGATAGCCTACTTTTTTTTTTTTTGATAGCCTACTTTTTAAAAATATTTTATTTATTTATTCATGAGAGAGAGAGAGAGAGAGAGACAGACAGACAGACAGACACAGGCACAGGGAGAAGCAGGCTCCATGCAGGGAGCCCAACATGGGACTCAATCCTGGGTCTCCAGGATCAGGCCCTGGGGTGAAGGCGGCGCCAAACCACTGAACCACCCGGGCTGCCCAGCTTGCTTTAAGCATTTTAAAAGGAGATTTAAGAGAATATTTGAAAAAATATTGTTTGTAGCTCTTGCACTTTTGATTATTTCATTTAGATTCAGTTTTTTTCTCTACCTCAATTTAAGATGATACCTCATCCTCACTGTACTCAGGATCTCTCCTTTTACATTGTCTTTTTTTTTTTTTTTATAAACTCATTGCACTCCTTTTTTTAAGTTTTATTTATTCATTCATGAGAGACACACACACACAGAGGCAGAGACACAGGCAGAGGAAGCAGAGGAAGAAGCAGGATTTCTGTGTAGAGCCCGATGTGGGACTCCATCCCAGGACCCCGGGATCACGACCTAAGCCAAACGCAGATGCTCAACCACTGGGCCACCCAAGCGTCCCAACTCCCTGCACTCGTGAAGTGGAACTTGAATTTTAGATCTTCCAAAGTCATGACCGTTTTTAAGGCTTTGTAATTGCTGGCTACTCAATTCCTGGACGAGGAACAGAGTGAACATGGTGCTGGCCACTCATCATTTTGTGGCGGCCTTGCTAGAACTCTGCCTGTGGGTGAACGGAGACTGTCAGGTTTCTAGAAATGAGCACTAATACCAGGCTTCTACTACTGAGAGTCAGTGATCAAGATGTATGAGCTTTGCCCTTTCCACCTGGAACTTCACTTCCGAAGCCCCAATTGGATATGCATGTACTCACTTAATTTTTCAAAATGTTAGAGAGAATGGGGTCTGAGGATCCTGGCCTGCTTTGCCATAGCTAGTCCGCTGCTAGGTGACCAGGGGAGACCTGTGCACAGGGGTCAGGTTGGGCAAAGGAGAATTTCGTTACTACCCAGGTATTGGCCTCAAACACCTTTGTGAACTCTAGGGTCCTGATATGCTGTGCTGGATTATATGGGAGATTATTTGTGCCTGACTCAGTGACCTTCACTTGCCTGGGCTTCCTGATTCCTGCTTGGCTTTCTAAGGGGTGTTGGGGCCTCTCTTCCCAAGGTTGAAATCCCCCAGTCCTGTCCTTCCACACTAGCCTCTGGGAAGGAGAGCGTCTTAGAGGAGCCATTTCTGTGTGGGGTCACAGATCTTTCACCTCATGTCTATCCATAAAGAAAGCTCCACTTTGCAGTACTGAGACTCAAGCTGTAGGACTTGACCTATGTATGAACACTTTTAGAAAACTTTAGAAATCTACTCCCTAGAAACTTTTTTTTTTTTTAATACTTTCTTTTTATTTATTTATATGATAGTCACACAGAGAGAGAGAAGCAGAGACACAGGCAGAGGGAGAAGCAGGCTCCATGCACCGGGAGCCTGATGTGGGATTTGATCCCGGGTCTCCAGGATCGCGCCCTGGGCCAAAGGCAGGCGCTAAACCGCGGCGCCACCCAGGGATCCCCCTAGAAACTTTCTTTTACTCGTTTTACTTTTTTCTACCTTCTTGGCTTCCATGAAACTATATTCTTCTAATTCTTTCTTTTCTTTTTCCTTTTTGCCTTTTTCCACTCCTGGCTATAGGCCTGGTATGGGCAAGACTTTAGCTGTCTACATTTTAAAGATTTGTCTTTCACTTTTAAGTCTTTATACAAACTGTAATTGATTTTGTGTGTAATATGAGAGAGAGAGAGCACCAATATTCTTTTTTTCCATGTGGCTCATCTGTTGTCCCAGCTTCAAATCTGCATTTCCAGTTGCTGGTACCTCTAAAAGCAGTTTTAGTTCAGTACATGTTGACTTTTTTTCCCTTGGGATCTTTGCACCTAAATTCCCTCTTTTTAGAATATCCTTCCTCTCCTTTATGGGCTCACAACTTCTGTTGAGGCCTACTGAACAAAGACCATTAAGAAATAATACTCCCTAGGAACCGAAAAGGGGCTTATAGGATTTGAGCTTGTGCTGGTGATTTTAAGAAAGGATTAGGGAAGCAAGGACCAATTTTAGAATGAATACTGTCAAAAAGCTGTAGCCTTTCAGCAGGTGGGTGTCTTAAGGAAGCAGGAGGTGGGAGGATATTGGTGAGAAAATAGTGGTGAGTCTAAGGATCATTATCATTTTTTAAAAAATATTTTATTTGTTTATAAGAGACAGAGAGAGGCAGAGACCTAGGCAGGGGGAGAAGGAGGCTCCCCGTGGAGAGCCACAGGGGACTTGATCCCAGGACCCCGGGATCACGACCTGAGCCAAAGGTAGATGCCCAACCGCTGAGCCACCCAGGTGCCCCAGGATCATTATCATTTTAACAGTTCCTCCAATTTCATTACCTGAGGTTGATTTTCTCACTTTTCAACCTTTCAATTGGATCTTGGCTTAAACAGTATCTTCTCAGCAACCCATTCTGACCACTATTGCCGATTTCTTTCCCAGTATTTATGATAGCTTTTAATTATGTATTATCTGTTTATTTGCTTTTTGTCTTCTCTGCTAGAATGTGAGATTCATGAGGGCAGGGACCGCATTTCTTCTCTGTTTTAGAGTTAGTGTAAAACACAGGTCTGACACATCATAGGTGTTCAGTAAACACATCTGTATGATAAGTGAATAAAAGAAAATCAAGATTGACAGTGATTGCACTAGCACTTCTGCCCTATATACTGCTAATCTCTAGTTAAACAGCATATCCTCCACAAAAAGATAAAGCTGATACATAAGCTGTGTGATCTTATGTATCATGTACACAACAGGGCCCTACTCATCCCCATTATTATTATTATTTTTAAAATATTTTATTTATTCATGAGAGACACACACACACAGAGAGGCAGAAACATAGGCAGAGGGAGAAGCAGGCTCCGTGCAGGGAGCCTGAACGGGACTCGATCCTGGGACGCCCGGACCGTGTCCTGAGCCGAAGGCAACACCCAAACACTGAGCCACCCAGGTGTCCCCATCCCCATGATTTTTTGTAATTCTACTTAATTTTAAAACTGACAAAAATCAAACCAGATCTACCTAAGACCTTTTTATTTTTTTATTTTTTTTCCTAAGACCTTTTTACAACTAACATATGTATATGCATATATATATTTTATCTTTTTAAAGATTTTATTTATTCATGAGAGACACAGAAAGAGAGGCAGAGACAGAGCAGAGGGACAGAAGCAGGCTCCCTCTGGGGAACCTGATGTGGGACTTGATCCCAGAACCCCGGGATCTCAACCTCTGAGCCACCCAGGCACCTATATATATATTTATACATACTTAAGAATATAGTTGACTGTTGAAGAACACGGTTTTGAGATGTACGAGTCCACTTATACATAGTTATTTTTTTTTTTTGGGTATGGTACAGTGCTGTAAATGTATTTCACTTATTTATTTATTTATTTATTTATTTATTGAAGATTTTTTTACTTACTAGAGAGAATGTGCACAGAATCTGGGGGAGGGGCAGAGAGAGAAAATCCTTAAGCAGACTCCCTGTTGAGTACAGAGCCCAACTTGGGGCTTGATCCCAGAACCCTGAGCTGAAACCAACGGTCAGACGCTTAGTCAACTGAGCCACCCAGGTGCCCCTTTCCCTATAATTTTCTTTTTTTTTCAAATTTATTTATTTATTTATTTATTTATTTATTTACTTATTTATTTATTTATTTATTTATTTATTTATTTATTTATGATAGTCACACAGAGAGAGAGAGAGGCAGAGACATAGGCAGAGGGAGAAGCAGGCTCCATGCACCGGGAGCCCGACGTGGGATTCGATCCCGGGTCTCCAGGATCGCTCCCTGGGCCAAAGGCAGGCGCCAAATTGCTGCGCCACCCAGGGATCCCTCCTTATAATTTTCTTTCTTTCTTTCTTTCTTTCTTTCTTTCTTTCTTTCTTTCTTTCTTTCTTTCTTTCTTTCTTTCTTTTTTCTTTTTTTTTTATGATAGTCACACACAGAGAGAGAGAGGCAGAGACATAGGCAGAGGGAGAAACAGGCTCCATGCACCGGGAGCCCGATGTGGGACTCGATCCTGGGTCTCCAGGATCGCACCCTGGGTCAAAGGCAGGCGCTAAACCACTGTGCCACCCAGGGATCCCTATAATTTTCTTAATAACATTTTTTCTCTAGCTTACTTTATTGTAAGAATTAAGTATATAATACATATAGGATATAAAATAAGTGTTAATTGACTATGTTATTGATGAGGCTTCCTGTCAACAGTAGACTGTTAAGTTTTGGGGGAGTCAAAAGTTCTATGTGGATTTTTGACTGCAAGGGAGTCCAATGCTCTTAACCCCTGCATTGTTCAAGAATCAACTGTGTATGTAACACATATAAGTTGTGGAGCATAGTAATAAAATATGTAACTCATTGTATGTTTCTTAAAATTGTATATCATTGAAATCTTAATTTGCATTTCCCTGATGACTAATAAAATTGAACATTTTTTTATTGGTAACTTGTGTTTCTTTATGAAATGCCTTTTAATTTCATTTGCTTTTTTCTTTTGGGTTGTCTCTTTCTATATTGTATATAGTATATTCTGGATAAAAATCCATGGTTTATAAGTGTTACAAATATTTCTCACATTTATGGTTTTCTTTTTTTTAAGGATATCTTTAGACATGTAAAAGTTCTTAATTTTAATGTGTAATGTATTTTTTTTTATTCTTTAAATTTTTTAAAGGTTTATCTTTGAAATATAAGTCTTTCCTGGATCTGAAGTTGACTTTTACATATGGTATGAGATAGGGATCCAGTTTTTTTTTTTTTTTAACTATATAGCTAATCAGTTTTTTTGGTATCATTTATATGTCTGTGACATATTTATATGTGCACTTATGAGAGTGGAGGAGATAATCTCATAGTAGTTCATTTTTTGATCATGTACTATTTCTGTCTTATAGGTTCTTTTTGTAATTTTGTATAAACCTCCAGGAGGACTATGAAAGATTATGATGAACTTCTCAAATACTATGAATTATATGAAACTATTGGGACAGGTAATTTTTTTTTTTTCTTGGAAGCAGAGGACAGATCAACTGTTTGAGAATATAGTGTATTTGGGAAGTCATGAGCTTTTCAGTTTAATTTTAAAATTCTTCAACCTACTTTAGAAAGAAAAAGTGGAACAAGAGAGAGGAGAGTAGGGGCACCTGGCTGGCTTAGTGGTTGAGAGTCTGTCTTTGGCTCAGGTTGTGATCCTGGGATCGAATCCCGCATGGGCTCCCCGCAGGGAGCCTGCTTCTCCCTCTGCCTGTGTCTCTCATGAATAAATAAATAAGATATTTAAAAAAAGAAAAGAAAAAAAAAAGAGGGAAGTAGTAGGAGAGGCCTTATAGGTCATTTCATTTAGAATGAAAGTCACTAGAGAGTTTTGAGCCAAGCAGTGATCTATCTGACCTTTGTTTTTAAGGATCACTCTGGCCGCTTAGTTGTGAAAAACGTGGGCTGGGAAAGGCAGGAGCAGGAGCAGAGAGGTGTTAGGTGGTTATTGCAATGATTCAGGTGAGTGATACGGGAGATAATGGTGACTTGAATGAGGGTGATAGCAGTGAATATAGTGAATGGGATTCTGTACGTGTCTGTGTATTTTAACTTATTGAGGTACAACACAATACAATATGCAAAGTACACTCGTCTCCATGGAGTTTTATGTATGTGTTCCCTGTTCAGATCAAGACAGAACTTTTCCAGTCAGTACCTGCCTCTTTTACCTCAAGGTAACAACTGATATGTTTTGAAGACAGAACCAATGGGATTTGTTTTTGTTTTTATTTTTTCAAATTTTATTTATTTATTCATGAGAGACACACACACAGAGACAGAGACACAGGCAGAGGGAGAAGCAGGCTCTCTGTGGAGAGCCCGATGTGGGACTTGATCCTGTGACCCCGGGAACACGACTTGAGCCCAGGGAGGACGTTCAACAGCTGAGCCACCCAGGCATCCCTTTGTTTTCGTTTGTTTTTTTAATATTTATTTATTTATTTATTTATTTATTTATTTATTTATTTATTTATTTATTTATTTTAAGATTTTATTTATTATTTATTTATTCATGAGAGACAGAGAGAGAGAGAGAGAGAGAGAGAGAGAGAGGGAGGGAGGCAGAGACACAGGCAGTGGGAGAAGCAGGCTCCATGCAGGGAGCCCGACATGGGACTCGATCCCGGGTCTCCAGGATCACACCGTGGGCTGCAGGAGGCACTAAACCGCTGTGTCACCGGGGCTGCCCTGTTTTTGTTTTTAAAGATTTTATTTCTTTATGAAAGACAGAGGCAGAGACTTGGGCAGAGGGAGAAGCAGGCTCCCTGTGGGGAGCCCATGCAGAACTCCATCCCAGGACCCCGGGGATCACAACCTAAGCCCAGGGCAGACGCTTAACTACTGAGCCACCCAGGTGCCCCAGAACCAATGGGATTTGTTGATGGGTTGGATGTGGGGTGTGAGACAAAGGAGAAGGGCTACAGATTTTTGGGAAATGTTGAGTTGCCATTTACTAAGATGGGGAAGACCATAGCTTTATTTATTTATTTATTTTATTTTTTTTATAGCTTCTTTTTAGAAATGTTAAGTTGGCAATTTCTTTTAGATACTGACTGTGGACATTTATCTACCTTTTGATACAGTTTTGAAACAATATCCTGCTTCTGATCCAGTTTTAAAACTGAGTGGAAAACAAAAACGAAAACTGAGTGGATGTTTCCTATTATCTTTTTCTCAGCGACTTTAATTCTAGTGGTGTTAATTATAAAGCAAAAAAAATTTTTTAAAGATTTTTATTTATTCATTCATGAGAGACAGAGAGAGAGAGACAGAGACACAGGCAGAGGGAGAAGCAGGCTCCATGCAGGGTTCCTGATGGCGGGATGCGGGACTCATGCAGGGTTCCTGATGGCGGGATGCGGGACTGCGGGACTCGATCCTGGGACCAGGATCACACCCCAGGTGGAAGGCAGGTGCCAAACCGCCGAGCCACCTGCTGATCCCCAATTATAAAGCAAATTTAATTGCAATGTTAATTATGAAGCAGATTTCTAAGTAGTGAATTGTTTTCCTGTTTCTTCAATCTGAAGTTAAAGATATGGGATGCCTGGGTGGCTTTCGGCTCAGGACGTGATCCTGGAGTTCTGGGATCAAGACCCCCCATCGGACTCCCTGCATGGAGCCTGCTTCTCCCTCTCTGCCTATGTCTCTGCCTCTCTGTTTCTGTGTCTCTCATGAATAAATAAATTAAAGAAATAAAGTTAAAAAAAATCTTCAGCTAGACATTGAATCAGGAGAGGTTAGGGTCATGGCTAGCACTTTAGAAGCAATAGGAAGAAAGAGCCACAAATTTCCAGGAGGATATGGATTGATAGAGCTTCTTAAAAGCATATGGCGGAAAAAAAAAAAAAGGCAAATGTCAGGGGTGCCTGTCTGACTCAGCTGGAGTGTGAAACTCTTGATCTCAGGATTGTAAATTTTAGTCTCTCGTTGAGTATAGAGATTACTTAAAATCTTAAAAAAAATAAAAGCATGTAGAAAGATATTTGTGCCTGAGTCCTTGGGTTGCTCTGATGATGATTTCAGGTTACTCTTACTTATCTCTTCATAATACGTTTTCCTATATTCAGGTGGCTTTGCAAAGGTCAAACTTGCCTGCCACATCCTTACCGGAGAAATGGTAGCTATAAAAATCATGGATAAAAATGCACTAGGGGTAAGTTTAAAATTATTTTCAAAATATGTATAGATTAGTTTTGTAAATTCAAACCTGAATTTGCTCAAATGTTCTGGTTACTACTTTTATGAAAATACTTTTTCTATAGTTTTCTCTTTTTTGGCTTGTTTTTAAAATTGTCCCATGGAAAAGTCGAAAGATGGAGACAGTGAAGACCTGTGTGTTTTTCACTTACATCACCAGTTTTTAGCTCCACATGCTTCTAAGGGACACTGATATGGCTTAAATGGCAGCACAGGTGTGTCTCTGTTATTTTCCTTGCTTGGAATGCTAACCCTCTAAGGGAGTCTGAGATTGTTTTGATTTTTCTGGACCTTGTACTACTGACCCACATCAAATTACTCTTTCATAAAAGAGTTCATAAAAGAGGGTTTCATAAAACCTTCAAGGCTTTTTTTAAATGTCCATACAGATAATTTTTGTTATATCCTTGTGTACTTTTGAACAGTTTGTTTTGAGGCCATTGGTTGCTTTTGCTACTCAGCATTAAAGTTGTTGCTCTCAATGCTTGGTGCATTTCCCAAATAGGTTTATTGTTCATGTAATGTGTTTTGTCACAGAGTGATTTGCCTCGGATCAAAACGGAGATTGAGGCTTTGAAGAACCTGCGACATCAGCATATATGTCAACTCTACCACGTGCTAGAGACAGCCAACAAAATATTCATGGTTCTTGAGGTTAGTAGTATGGTCTAGAGACCTAAACGTATTTGGTCTCCGTCTTAGTCCACTGGGCTGCTATAACAAATATCACAGGCTGCGGAGCCTAGGAGCAATAGAAGTTTATTTTTCACAGTTCTGGAGGCTGGGGATTCCAAGATCAAGGCGCTGGCATGGTCAAGTGAGGACCCTTCTCCTGGGTGATGGCTGATGCCTTCTTGCTGTGTCCTTCATGGTAGAGGGGCCGAGGGATCTCTCTGGAATCTCATTTATAAGAGCATTAATTCCATTAAGGAGGGCTTCACCCTCATATCCCAGTCACTTCCCAAAGGCTCCACCTCCTAGTACCATTATCTTTTGGGGGTTAGGATTTCGCCATATCAATTTTGCGGGGAAATCAAATATTCAGACCATTTCCATATACTCTATCAATAGTTAAGTGAAAAGTGTGTTTCACTTGAAAGATTATAATAAATATTAAGTGGCTTACATGTTTGAGTTCTGTCTATAATAATTTAGATTGAGTAGACATATATAAGTTGGAAATTCATTGTAAATGCACGCTAAGACACTTTTTTTTTTTTTTTAAGATTTCATCTATTTATTCATGAGAGACATAGAATGAAACTAAGACATAGGCAGAGGGAGAAGCATCTCCCCACAGAAAGCCCGATGTGGGACTTGATCCCGAGACCCCTGGGATCACGCCCCGAGCCAAAGGCAGATGTTCAACCACTGAGCCACTCAGGCATCCCTCTAAGACACTCCTTTTTTTTTTTTTTTAATTTTTATTTATCTATGATAGTCACACAGAGAGAGAGGCAGAGACAGGGACATAGGCAGAGGGAGAAGCAGGCCCCATGCACCGGGAGCCCGACGTGGGACTCGATCCCGGGTCTCCAGGATCACGCCCTGGGCCAAAGGCAGGCGCCAAACCGCTGCGCCACCCAGGGATCCCTCTAAGACACTCCTAATGGGATTAGGATTAATGATCAGAATGTTAGAATTTGTTCCTAGAGGGAAGGATCCACTCCAGTTTTATATGGCCTATTAGTCTAGGGCTGCCAGAACAAACTACCACAAACTTGGTGGTTTAAAACAACAGAAAAAAAATTTTTTTTTTTAAACAACAGAGAAATTTATTATCTCACTTCTGGAAGCTAGAAGTCTGAAATCAAGGTGTGGGTAAAGTTGGTTTCTTCTGGAGACTCTGTTCTGTGCTTCCTACCTAGTTTCTGACAGTTATTGATAGTCTCTCATTCCTTAGCTTGTAGCACTCCTGTCTCTATCTCTGTCTCTCTTTTTTTTTTTTTTTTAATTTTTTATTTATTTATGATAGTCACAGAGAGAGAGAGAGAGGATAGGCAGAGGGAGAAGCAGGCTCCATGCACCGGGAGCCCGATGTGGGATTCGATCCCGGGTCTCCAGGATCGTGCCCTGGGCCAAAGGCAGGCGCCAAACCGCTGTGCCACCCAGGGATCCCTATCTCTGTCTCTCAATGACTGACTGACTGACTGACTGACTGACTGACTGATTTATTTATTTATTTATTTATTTATTTATTTATTTATTTATTTATTTGAGACACAGAGAGAGAGAGAGAGAGAGAGAGAGAGAGAGAGAGGCAGAGACACAGGCAGAGGGAGAAACAGGCTCCACGTAGGGAACCTGATGTGGGACTCGATCCCAGGTCTCCAGTCTCCAGGATCACAGCCTGGGCTGACGGTGGCACTAAACCGCTAAGCCACCTGGGCTGCCCTAAATGACATATTCTTATCTGTGTGTCTGTGTCTTTGTCCAGATTTCCATCTTCATGTAATAACATAGTCTTGAATTAGGGTCCACTCTGATCCAGTACAACTTCATCTGGACTTGATTACATCTACAAAGATCATTTTTAAAAAGATTTTCTTTATTTACTCATGAGATACACACACACACACACACACACATACACACACAGAGGCAGAGACACAGACAGAAGTAGGCTCCATGCAGGGAGCCCAATGGGGGACTCGATCCTGGTTCTTCAGTATCACTCCCTAAGCCAAAGGCAGACACTCAACCACTCTGCCACCCAGGCATCCCACATATACGAAGATCTAAATAAGGTTATGTTCATTGGTACCAGATGTTAGGTCTTACACATATCTTTTGGGGGACACAGTTCAACTCGCTGTCCATAGGTAGTCTTCTTCAATACATGTGTTAAATGAATCAGACCTTTCAAATTTTAGCTGTCCTTTTTGGCCCAAAATGTAAAGTCTTTAGAACTTCCATCATTCATCTCTTGTTTCATTTTCTTTAGTCTCAGCCAGTTAATTTGTAACTGCATATCATTTTTATAGATTAGCTCTGTTTCGAAAGCACATTTAAAAATTTGTAATGTTGGGGTGCCTGCATGGCTTAGTTGAATAATCCCAGGACCCTGAGATCTTGACCCGAGTCAAAGTCAGATGCTTAACCGACTGAGCCACCTAGGCACCCCAGGAGTATATAATAAAAGGAAAACTCTCTCTCTCTCCCATATCCCAGTCCTTCAGTTCCCTTTCCTCTGGCTCAGTCACTTTTCTTGTGTTTCTTATAGATTTTCCATGTACAGTTAATCCTGAACAACATGGGTTTGAACTGCATGGGCCCATTTATACACAGATTCCTTCTTTTCCTTCCTTCCTTCTTTCCTTCCTTCCTTCCTTCCTTCCTTCCTTCCTTCCTTCCTTCCTTCCAAGGGTGGGGTGGGGCATGGAGAGGCAGAGGGAGAGGAAGATTCTTAAGCAGGCTCCACACCCAGCATGACCTGAGCTGAAATCCAGAGTGGGATGCTTCACTGACTGAGCCACCCAGGAGCCCCCACAGATCCCTAAAAAAAAAAAGATTTATTTATTTATTTATTAATTTATTTATTTATTTATTTATTCATTCATTCATTCATTCATTCATTCATCTATCCATCCATCCATTCATTCATTCATTTGAGACACAGAGAAACAGAGACATAGGCAGAGGGAAAGAAGCAGGCTTCCTACAGGGAACCTGATGCTGGACTTGGTCCTGGGATCATGATCTGAGCCAAAGGCAGACACTCAACCACTGAGCCGTGCCCTCCCACAGATTTTTTTGCAGTGCAATACTGTAAATGTATTTTCTTTAAAGATTTTATTTATTTGAGAGTGAGAGAGTGAGCGAGAGCAAGCAGGAGCAGGGGGAGAGGGAGAAGCAGGCTCTCTGCTGAGAAGGGTGTCTAATGTGAGGGCCTGATCCTGGGATTCTGGGATCATGACCCCAGTAGAAGGTAGAGCCACTCAGGTGCCCCTATATTTTCTTTTTCTTATGATTTTCTTTTTTTCTAGCTTACTTTATTGTATGAATACAGTATATTATACACAAAACACACAAAAGATGTGTTAATTGACAGTTTATGTTATTGGTAAGGCTTTTGGTCAACAGGCTGTTTATAGTTAAACTTCAGGGAGGGTCAAAAGTTATATGCAGATTTCAAAAAATTAAAAATAGAATTACCATATGATCAGTAATTCCACTACTGATTACCCAAAGAATATGAAAACACTAATTTGAAAAGATATATGTACTCCAGTGTTTATTGCAACATTAATTACAATAGCCAAATTATGGTAGCAGTATTGATAAATGATTGGATAAAGAAGACACACACACACAGAGGAATATTACTCAGCCATAAAATATAATGAAATCTTGTCATTTGCTACAACATAGATGGAGCTAGAGAGTAGTATGCTAAGTGAAGTAAGTCAGAGAAAGACAAATACCATATGATTTCACTCATATGTGGAATTTAAGAGACAAATGAACAAAAAACGAGACAAACCAAAAACACTCTTAACTATGGAGAACAAACTGATGGTTACCAGAAGGGAGGTAGGTGAGGGGATGGGTGGAATAGGCAAAGGAGTTTAAGAGTATACTTTTCCTGGGATGCCTGGGTGGCTCAGGGGTTGAGCATCTGCCTTTGGCTCAGGGTGATCCCGGAGTCCTCTGATCAAGTCCCACATCAGGATCCTTGCATGGAGCCTGCTTCTCCCTCTGCCTTGTCTTTCTCTCTCTCTCTCTCTGTTTCTCATGAATAAATAAGATGATTTTTATCCAAGACCATTTTTTTTGAAAATATTTAATTTATTTATTCATGAGAGACACAGAGAGAGAGGCAGACACAGGCAGAGGGAGAAACAGGTTCCATGCAGGGAGCCTGATGCGGGACTTGATCCCAGGACTCCAGGATCATGCCCTGGGCCAAAGACAGGCTTTAAACCACTGAGCCATCCAGGGATCCCCAAATAAAATCTTAAAAAAAAAAAAAAGTATACTTGTCCTGATGGGCACTGAGTAATGTATTGAATTATTGAATCGTTATATTGTACACCTGAAACTAATAAAACACTATGTTAACTATATTGGAATTAAGATTAAAAAAACAGGATCCCTGGGTGGCGCAGCGGTTTAGCGCCTGCCTTTGGCCCAGGGCGCGATCCTGGAGACCCGGGATCGAATCCCACGTCAGGCTCCCGGTGCATGGAGCCTGTTTCTCCCTCTGCCTATGTCTCTGCCTCTCTCTCTCTCTGTGTGTGACTATCATAAATAAATAAAAAATTAAAAAAAAAAAGATTAAAAAAACATATGCAGATTTTCAACTGTCAGGGTGGTTGGCACTCTTAACCCATGTGTTCAAGGGTCAATTGTACTTAATCCCTGCATATATCTTATATGCTTGTGTGTGTATATATATGTTTGCATATATTTATGTATAAATATATATAAATATGCATGTGACGTATTAGTTTCTGTCACACAAATGGTCACATACTCTAATGTTCTGTACCTTATTTCCCCTGGCACTTAATATTTTAGCTTGGAGACCATTTATGTACATTCATAGAGGTTTTTAATGTTTTTATTTCACTTTATTTTGCATTTCTTTATTTGAGAATATAAAATAGGCTCTTTGTGTAAATCTTACTGGATAGCATTTTTAAAAATTAACTATTGAGGCATCTGGCTGGCTCACTCATTATACCATGTGACTCTCGATCTTAAGGTTGTGAGGTCAAGCCCTCCACTGGGTGTAGAGATTATTTAAATAAGTAGAACTTTATTTATTTAAAAAAATATTTTATTTAGTTATTCATGAGAGACACAGAGAGAGGCAGAGACATAGGCAGAGAAAGAAGCAGGCTCCATGCAGGGAGCCTGATGTGGGACTCGATCCCGGGACTTTAGGATCACGCCCTGAGCCAAAGGCAGATGCTCAACCACTGAGCCACCCAGGCGTCCCCTTCCTGACCCTTTGAAGTTAATCCCTATAATCCCACCTGCCCACTACTACCACTACCAGTGATTAATGGTTTCATTTTTGTCACTAGATTAATTAATTAATTAATTAATTAATTAATTAATGTTACCTATGAAGATTTTTGTGTTTGGTGTCTTTTGTTCAGCATACAAGTCAGTACATCAGTGTACTGTTTTATCCCTTGCTATTTTCACTTAATACTGGAGATTGTTTTATTTATTTATTTTTTAACATTTAAAAAAAATTTATTTGAAAGAGAGCAAGCAGGGGGAGAAGCAGAGGGAGAGAAAAAGGGAGAAACAGACTCTCCACTGAATAGGGAGCCTGATGTGGGGCTCAATCCCAGGACCCTGGGATCATGTTCTGAGCTGAAGGCAGACGCTTAACTGACTGAGCCACCCAGCCACTCTGCCATGCCCTCCCACACATTTTAAGCATATGACATTAAAAAAAATTTTTTTAGGTGAATGATATTTTATTTTTTCTTAAAGATTTTATTTATTTACTTGAAAGAGAGTGAGCAAGAGAGAGCGTGAGCACAGAGGGAGAAGCAGACCTCCGCTGAGCAAGGAGCCTGATTTGGGGCTCAGTGCCAGGACCCTGAGATCATGACCTGAGCTGAAATCAAGAGTCCGATGCCTTTTTTTTTTTTTTTTTAAGATTTTATTTATTTATTCATGAGAGACACACAGAGATAGGCACAGATACAGGCAGAGGGAGAGGCAGGCTCCATGCAGGGAGCCCGACATGGGACTCGATCACGGGTCTCCAGGATCACACCCTGGGCTGAAGGCGGTGCTAAACTGCTGAGCCACCCAGGCTGCCCTTAAAAAAACATTTTTTTGAAGATTCTTTAATTTATTCATTTGAGGGATCCCTGGGTGGCGCAGCGGTTTGGCGCCTGCCTTTGGCCCAGGGCGCGATCCTGGAGACCCGGGATCGAATCCCACGTCGGGCTCCCGGTGCATGGAGCCTGCTTCTCCCTCTGCCTGTGTCTCTGCCTTTCTCTCTCTCATTCTATGTGACTATCATAAATAAATAAAAAAAATTAAAAAAAAAATAAAAAAAAATTTATTCATTTGAGAGAGAGTGTGGGAGTAAGAATACAAGCAAGTGGGAGGGTCAGAGGGAGAGGGAGAAGCAGACTCCCCATTGAGAAAGGCGCCGCATGCGGGGCTGCATCCTAGGACCCCGGGATCATGACCTGAACCAAAGGCAGATATTTAACTGACTGAGCCACCCAGGAGCCCCTAGAATTCTATTTTATAATGAAATTTAAATAGTGTGAGCATATTTGGGTTGTTTCCAGGCTTTGTTGTTACAAACAATGCTGTTACAGTGAATGATCTTGAAAGTGTATTTTTTTTTTAAATTTTTATTTATTTATGATAGTCACACACAGAGAGAGAGAGAGGCAGAGACATAGGCAGAGGGAGAAGCAGGCTCCATGCACCAGGAGCCCGACGTGGGATTCGATCCCGGGTCTCCAGGATCGCGCCCTGGGCCAAAGGCAGGCGCCAAACCGCTGCGCCACCCAGGGATCCCCGTTAGGGTATATCTATAGGAATGTTTTCTAAGTGTGGAACTATGAGGTCAAAGGCTATAGCTATCTGTGATTTGAATTGATGTTGCTGGGACACCTGGGTGGCTCAGTGGTTGAGCATCTGCCTTCAGCTCAGGTTGTGATCCTGGGATCCCAGGATCGAGTCCCACATCGGGCTCCCCGGAGGGAGCCTGCTTTTCCAGAACTCTACCTATGTCTCTGCCTCTCTCTGTGTATCTCATGAATAAATAAATAAGATCTTTAAAAAAATAACTGATATTGCTAAGGTGAAATGAAATATATTTTTTTAAAGTTTTATTTATTTATTTTTTAAATTTTTTTTTTAATTTTTTATTTATTTATGATAGTCACAGAGAGAGAGAGAGGCAGAGACACAGGCAGAGGGAGAAGCAGGCTCCATGCACCGGGAACCCGATGTGGGATTCGATCCAGGGTCTCCAGGATCGCGCTCCGGGCCAAAGGCAGGCGCCAAACCGCTGCGCCACCCAGGGATCCCTATTTTTTAAAATTTTTAAATTTATTTATGATAGTCACACACAGAGAGAGAGAGGCAGAGACACAGGCAGAGGGAGAAGGAGGCTCCATGCACCGGGAGCCTGACGTGGGATTCGATCCCGGGTCTCCAGGATCACGCCCTTAGCCAAAGGCAGGCGCTAAACCGCTGCGCCACCCAGGGATCCCTGAAATGAAATATTGAATGAAAACCCCAGTCTACAGAAAAGCACAGGCAGTCTTGAGAAAAAGGAATGGAAAGCTTAGAGCTTTATATTCTGCTACCTATTCTTCTGCAGCTTATTAGGAACCTCTGTAGAACTGGGCTCCTTAAGGTACAGACTGAAGAATTAGTGGTCTCCAGGGTAGAAAAGCAATAATTGCTGCTGGGGGCTGCCTGGCTGCCTCTATCGGTAGTGTATGACTCTTATCTCAGGGTTGTGAATTCGAGTCCCAATCAGGTATAGAGATCACTTAAAAATAAAATCCTTAAAACATTATTTTTTTTATTATTTATTTATTTATTTATTTATTTAAACATTCTTTTTTTTTTTTTTAAGATTTTATTTATTTATGAGAGACAGAGGGAGAGAGAGAGGCAGAGACACAGGCAGAGGGAGAAGCAGGCTCCATGCAGGGAGCCCGATGTGGGACTCAATCCCGGGACTCCAGGATCACGCCCTGGGCTGAAGGCAGGCGCTAAACCGCTGAGCCACCCAGGGATCCCCAAATCCTTAAAAAATTTTTTAAGAAAATACTACTAGGTTTTTTTGTTTGTCATTTTAGGGAATTACATTAAATATGAATGCATTAAGAAAAGAATGGGTTTTGGGGTTTCTGGGTGGCTCAGTTGATTGGATATCTGATTCTTGATTTTCGTTCAAGTCATGATCTGCACTCAGTGGGGAGTCTGATAGAGATTCTCCCTCTCTCTCTGCCCCCCCACCTTTCCTCTCGTGCTCTCACTGTTTCTGGAATAAATAAATCTTTAAAAAAAAATCACAATGTTAGTTGGTTCTACTACTACTTACTGGTCATAAAACTGCTTGAGACCAAGAGCTATTGTTCTCTTTCCTGTAGTAATTGTTGATTTGTTTGATCTTTAGAGTATATTTCCCTGGTTTCCCTTTGGCTTTTAGTTGAATTATTGCTGAGTTAAGTATAATTTTCTGTTGTAATTCCTCTGAAGTGATTTTCCTGGGTAGTAACAATATCTGTGTCTTTGTTGGTGCTGAAGTACTGCCCTGGAGGAGAGCTCTTTGACTACATAATTTCCCAGGATCGCCTGTCCGAGGAGGAGACTCGAGTTGTCTTCCGTCAGATACTTTCTGCAGTTGCTTACGTACACAGCCAGGGCTATGCTCATAGGGACCTCAAACCAGTAAGTGCCTGTCACAGATACTCTCCTGAGAGTTCAACACCATTTACCAGTAATTACTGGTTTTCCAAGTGTTCTTTTTGTTTATGATTTAGCTTGGCTTCTTTTTTTGTTTCACTCATAATGGATCACTTTTTTCCCCCTTTTTTCTTTTGACTGTAGTAGGCTTTTTTGGATGTGCTTGATTATTGGCATTCTGTGTATTTGTCAGTTATGCACAGCATTATGAATGTCTTTGTAATCAGCTGGGGAATATAAACCTCAGGATTTTATCTCTTGGAAAGAAGAGTTTCGAGTATTTTCTTTGAGAGTATTGTCATTAAATACTTTCCCTTCAATACTCTTCCTGACCTCATTTGCCTTTAATTTTATTTCCATTATGCTTCAGAAGGGAACAATTCAATGGAATAAACAGACTAATTTTCAAGCACAGAATAAAAATGTGAATACTCTTAAGTTTGTAGGCTCTGACTACTATGTATGATGGTGAACATGGATTTTATGTTACTTGATATTAGAGTCAGGGAGCTAGAATTGATTGACAAAATATGGCAATGTTACTATCCTCTTCCCCCTGTTTATGCCCAGCCCTTTTATTTCAGTTCATTCTTTTGATTTGGCACACATTGTGTTTGCTTGTAGTTGAACTTCAGGGCACCAATGAGAAAATGGTTTATGCTAAAGTGTCTTGAGGGGAAGCAGGATATTTATCAACATTCCTCCTCTTTCCCCTTCTATACTTCTTGTCATTTCATTCTTTTTTAATGATTTTCATTCTATTGTTCCCAGGCTGTTTAATATAAACAATCTTAAATCTTTATTGGTTTTGCTGCTACCTGGACTACATCACACACAACCTCCAGCAGCAGGGTCTGCAGACAGAAAATGTACCTGTGACAAAGGGTTTTAGGAGAGTGGAAAATGCTTATCATATGGAAGCAGAGCTCTGCAGTACATTTACTGAATTTAGAAAAATGCAAAATATTTGTAACTTTATTGTTGAAAAGCTAGATAGCTCTGTTGTCATCAGCCAACCCCAGTTCTGTTATACTCCAGGTTCTGTTGAGAATCTAAGATGGCAAGCTTGTTTTGTTGTGAACGTGTGATGCAAAGCTCAAGAAGTCTATAACCTTATTGGCCAAATTCTGGGAAAGTCTTTATTCATCAAAAAAGAAACAAAAGAATGGGAAGGCCAAATAGATGATCCCAGTCATCCAGATTCTCAAGTTCATTAACTGTACAACAAAAAAATCACAGTGCAAAAATGTATGCTGCTTCAAAAGTATTTATAACTCTTGAAATAAAAGGAAAAGATAAGGAAAAAAAAATCTCTGAAATTCCAACCAAAATATATTATGTTTGCATCCTTTTGTTTTTTTATACTTTGTATAATGTTTGTTTTTGTCCCGAATATATATACTGTATAGTATATAATATAAAGTGTTTCTCCCTCCAAAATCTGTCAATCTTTGAGTAAGTTCCTACTGAATACCTACATTTACTTTTTATATTTAAAAGCTTACTATGGGAAATTCTCTGGAAATAAATGTCCTATATGTGAAAAAAAATCTTACTTATTTAGAAATTGTTTTTGGAAATGGCTAGAGGTAGGATGTGATATAAGGAAATCAGTACACAGTTAATGAAAATATCTTTGTTTTCCCAGGAAAATTTGTTGTTTGATGAATATCATAAATTAAAGCTGATTGACTTTGGTCTCTGTGCAAAACCCAAGGTAAGTGGAGAAATCAAAATGCATTTATTTCCTTTGTAAATGCACCTCTTAGTATGTTATCTTGCAATGACTTAGCCTTTACTGAGCCTGGGTGTATCCATTAAGAGTGTTAAATTTCATCCCTTCTAGAAGTTCTCTGGATGGTTCTAATATGTAGCCAAGATTGAGAACCACTGCTCTAGGTCCAGGGTTGGTCCTGCTGATGACTCCATGGGTGTGCTGTGAGAGAATTTGCAGTGCTGAGGTGACGTGAGGTCATTAACAACATGAATGCTGAATTGATCATGTGTTTGCAGTTTGAGTATGTTGCCACTAGATGATGCTTTTGTTCATTTAAATAGAGTTTTGGGAATTTAGTGCAAATCTTTCTTTGTTTATCCAAATGGTTATATAACTACAGTTACATTTTGAGAGACAATCCCCTTTCTTTATAAAAGAAGAAGGAAGAAGTCCATATACACTTTTAAATTTATACTGTTATATATTTCCTTAATTTGCACTCCACAGTTAAGTACTGGTGTTCTCCAGCATACCTTGAGGTGACTTTGAACTTTCCAGCTGCGCTGTCTGCAGAGCTCCTGTGTGGCTGCCTGTTGGAGGCTTCCTCCTGAGTTCTCTAATGATGGCACTCACAGTCTCTAAAATGAGCTGTCTACACTCATTAAGAATGTTGAAATTGCAGACCTGTCTCAACCCTTTGTAGTCCCAGGATTATTTCCTGCCCCAATCAAAATTAGCTAAATGCAAAGGGAAGCAGATTTTGCCCCTTCAGCGGAATGTTTGATTCTATCTGATTTTCCTCCCCTTCCCTTAGCTCTTCAGAGATTGTCAATGGATCCTCTTGTCTGGGAGCCAAATGCTATAAGGCATTTTTTTTGATCGGCAGCCATATAAAGATAAAATATACTTTAAGCAGATAAACTGGTTTAAGTCATGTTCTCCACAGGAGGCAGTGGAGAAGGTTTGTGACAGACTCCATTAGCTTTTATTTATGACTGCCACAGATTCGACCCACACAGATACCATCTAAAAAAAGCAGGGTTGGCTGGGAGAAGATTGCCTCCGCTTTCTGCTGAGGAGTTCACTTCTGGGCATGTGGTTGCAGTTGTAAATGAATTTTCACAATTTCCCAAGTCGTTTGCAAGTTGTAAGACTATACATGTGCTGGGAAGTTGTATCATTTTCATTATGTCTCAGTATGTCTGTGGGAGAGCAGAGGATGTTGAGCAGAATCCTCATTTTCACAGGTCTGGAAGTTCAGGCTGTGATTTGTGTTATAGCAGGGTCTAGAAAACAGACTCCTGAGGCTCTGTTCTATGCAGCCGACTCCTCTCTAAGGAAAGAGAAGCTTATGAATTTGTAAAGATTTGGTATTAGAGATAGGGTCTAGGAAAGAAGTACTGCTTTTTCTTTGAGTACTTGGGGGTGGGAAGACATGGGTGCTTGGATGCATGCTAAGCTGATTACTGTGTGAATGGATGTCTAGGAAAGTATGAACCTGACTTGACTAAGCTAAGGGGCAAAGGATTTTGTTCATGCCAGGTTGTAGTGGTATTGGAAATCCAGAGAAGAGGGAACTGCATGTGCATGCATGCATATAGCCAGGGTATTGGGTTGGCTGCAGAGTCTATTATTATTTGGGCTAATTCTTTGTCTAGCTTCTTTTTGCTTGTGCTTAAAGAATGTTTATCAAGGTTTTAATTTTTTAAAGATTTTATTTATTATAAAAAAGATTTTATTTATTTATTCACAAGAGACACACATACAGAGGCAGAGACATAGGCAGAGGCAGGAGAAGCAGCCTCCATGCAGGGAACCTGATGTGAGACTTAATCCTCGGACTCCAGGATCATGGCCTGAGCTGAAGGCAGATGCTCAACCACTGAGCCACCCAGACATCCCAAAGTTTTAATTTCTTAAGGGCTGTAATTAATAAGTCTTTCGTTCTTTCTTATTGGCAGGGTAACAAGGACTACCATTTGCAGACGTGCTGTGGGAGTCTTGCTTATGCAGCACCTGAATTAATACAAGGCAAATCCTATCTGGGATCAGAGGTAATCATTCATTGATTAATTCAGTATATAATCAATATATATTTATTGGTGACCTGTAGTGAGTCAGGCATTGTGCATTGGGGATATTACAATAAGGCAAGAAAGGATCTTGTTTATCAAAGAGTTCAGTCTATTAGGGGAGTAAGATATAAAGTAATGCATGAAATGAATAACTTACAATAAATGTAATAATACATAGAATACTTATAAAGCAAGGATACTTTTCTGGTGTCCTTGTGTTGGTTGCTTTTGTGTTAAACAGTACCATAGCTTAAGGTGGTTAGGTCTGCCAGGTAGAGTGCAAAGTCAGAGTTGTAGGCTCAGTTTTTAGAGATAGTGGTTAGCTCTGAGAAAACTTGTACTTTGTTCATAGCCAACTAACTATGTGAGGCTAGCAGTCCTGTTTCAGAGGCCCAGGCTCAGAAGGCCTGGAATTGCTTGTTTTACTTACTGTTAGCTACTACAAGCTAGTCAGTGCTTTCCATTCTCTGGAGTACTAATTTTGCTGATACTACTATCCTAAGGCAAACAAGGTTTAGTTATCAAAAGGTCAGGAAATGCTGGATTAAACAGTTTTCTTTAGTTCAGGACATCTCCACATCTTTAATATATTCTTGTACAGTGTTGTCCTTTGAGAGAGGAGCATCACAGAGAGCAGCTGGTCTTGATTTGCCTTGCCTACAGAGTCCACCTTTTATGTGGAGCATCTTTTGGAGCTAGTGTTATGTTAGAGAAACTTTGAGATACGCCCATTTACTTAATTTATAAGAGAAGATGGGAACTGACTTCTTTCTGGTGTCTATTTAGATATAGAACTTATAGAATAGTTGCAAATATGGAATGAGGAACTTCTGTATACATTTAGTCATATTCATAATTGTTTACATTTTTTCTTATAATTGCTTGCTCATTCTCTGTATATATGCATATTCTTTTTTTGAACCAATCAAGAGTAAGTTTTAGACATCATATCCCTTTATCATTAAATACTATGTATATTTTGTAAAAGCAAGGACCTTCTCTTTTATGCCCATACTTTAATTTTCAAAATCGGGGAGTTTAACATCGATACAACTTATTTAATCCATAATTCATATTCCCATGCTGATAATCATATCACTAATGTTCTTAGTTGTATTTTCCCTCCAGTCCAGCATTCAGTTGAGGATCATGTATTGCATTTAGTTGTCGTCTAAATGGTCTTCTTTAATCTAGAAGAATTCCTTAACCTTCCTTTATCTTCTTTGACCTTGACATTTTTTTATTGGTAAAGATTTTATTTGTTTATTTACGAGGGACACAGAGAGGCAGAGACATAGGCAGAAGGAAAAGCAGGCCCCCTTGTGGGGAGCCCAATGTGGGACTCAATCCCAGGACCCGAGGACCCTGGGATCTTGACCTGAGCCAAAGGCAGACCTGAGCCAAAGGCAGATGCTCGGCCACTGAGCCACCCAGGTGCCCTGACCTTGACATTTTTGAGGTAACCTCTTATTTTGTAGAAAGTCCCTCAATTTGAATTTGTATGATTCCTATGATTAGATTTAGGTTATGCATTTTTGGCAGATATAGCACAAAAGTAATGTTGAGGCCTTCTCAGTTAGTTGTAGGAAAAGGAACAAACTTTTACTGAGCTTTTAACGTAGTTCCGGAGTCATACTAGGTCCTTTTCAATTGTGGTAAAAATACATATAATGTAAGATTTACCATCTTTTTTTAAAACCAAACCATTTTTTAAAAAAGATTTTATTCATTTATTTGACAGAGAGCAAGAGCATAAGCAGGGGGAGCAGCAGAAGGGGAAGAGAAGCAGGCTCCCCACTGAGCAGGGAGCTCGATGCAGGGCTCTATCCCAGGATCCCAAGATCATGACCTGACCTGAAGGCAGACACATAACTGACTGAGCCACCCAGGCACCCCTATCTTAACCATTTTTTTTAAAATTTTATTTATTTATGATAGGCACACAGTGAGAGAGAGAGAATGGCAGAGACATAGGCAGAGGGAGAAGCAGGCTCCATGCACCGAGAGCCCGACGTGGGATTCGATCCCGGGTCTCCAGGATCGCGCCCTGGGCCAAAGGCAGGCGCTAAACCGCTGCGCCACCCAGGGATCCCCTCTCTTAACCATTTTTAAGTGTACAGTTCAGTAATGTTAGGCACATTCATATTGTTGTGCAAACAATCCCCAGAGCTCTTTTCATTTTGCAAAATGAAACTCTCTATCCATTAAATAATTACTCTCTATTCCTCCCTCTTCCCACTGCTGGCAACCACCCTTCCACTTACAGTTTTTATGAACTTGACTACTCTAGGTACCTTATATGTTGGAGTCATACAGTATTTGTCTTTTTGTGACTAATTTCACTTAGCATAATGTCTTCAAGGCTTATCTGTATTGTGGCATGTGTCAGAATTTTTTCATTTTTAGGGGCGCCTGGGTGGCTCGGTTAAATGTCTGCCTTTGGCTTGGGTTGTAATCCTAGAGTCTCAGATTGAGCCTGTGGTAGGCTCCTTGCTCAGAGGCTCCTTGCCTCTTCCTCTGCCTCTCTGCCCCCACCCCCACCATTCCTGCTCTTTCAGTCGCTCTTTCCCTGTCTCTCAAATGAATGAACGAATGAATGAATAAATGCCCCCCCTTCGTTATTGTGAATGTTGTTCATAGGAACAGAGATTTCTTTGAGTCCTTGCTTTCAGTAGTTTTAGATATTATACCCCAAAGTCGAATTGCTAGGTCATATGGTAATTGTATTTTTATTTTTTAAATTCTTATTTATTTTTTTAAGATTTTATTTATTTATTTGAGAAAGAGAGTACAAGCGAGGGGAGGGGCAGAGGGAGAGGGGGAGGGAGAAGCAGACTCCCCTCTGAGCAGGGAGCTGGTCACAGGGCTCCATCCGGGACTCTGAGATCATGATCTGAACTGAAGTCAGAGGCTTAAGAAACTGAGCCACCCAGGCACCCTGGTAATTCTAGATCTAATTTTTTGAGGGCCTGTCATACTGTTTTCCACAGTGGCAACATTTTATATTCCTACAACAGTGTATAGGATTTCTTAATGATGAAGTTTTGGAATATAGGTGAGGTCCAGAGCCGACAACCAAGAAGAATTGAGACGTCTTTGGTACAAAATGCTGGTTTTATTAAAGCACGGAGACAGGACCCTCGGCAGGTAGAGCTGCTGCCCTGGGCTTGTGCGGGACTGACTGATTATATACATGGGAGTGGGGGAGTTAAGGAAAAAGGGAGGTTTCAAAAGGATTTTCATATGCTAAGGAGGACCTACAAGATACTGGAGGCCTTGCCATGGTCAAGTTAAAGATTATTAACATTAAGAAAACTGGAAGCAAAAAAAAAAAAAAAAAAAAAGAAAAAAGAAAACTGGAAGCTTCCTGAGGAATGTCATACATATCCCACCCTGGGTGGGGGTCATTTGTGGGATATCAGCTTGCGTTTTGTCCTCAGCTAGCCCTCTGTGCCCCCATCACTTAAGCTAGATAATTTTATAATTTTCATTTAAATCCACAAAAATCCTGGGGCACTTGAGTGTTGGGACAGTCAGTTCATCTTCTGACTCTTGGTTTTCACTTAGGTAGTGATCTCTCGGTAGTGGGATCCAGCCCTGCTTCTGGGCTCCACGCAGTGTGGAGTCTGCTTTAGAGTGTTTCTCCCTCTTCTTCTCCCTCCCACTCTGCTCCTTCCTGATTCTATGAGGGCACTTCTCTCTCTCTCAAAAACAAACAATCTATCTTTAAATACACAAAAATCCTTTGGAATGAATTACTCATTTCATTAAGGTAAAGATGTTGAAATTGAGGTTCAGAAATTAAGTGTCTTCTCAGAGTCACAAAGCTGGTAACTACAGGTCAAAATTTGAACTAAGGTTTTACTGTGTACCCCTACTCTCTCTCTCTCATTTTATTAGATATTTTTTTTATTAGATATTTTTTAAAAAAGATTTTATTTGGGCAGCCCGGGTGGCTCGGCGGTTTCGCGCCACCTTCAGCCCAGGGCGTGATCCTGGAGACCTGGGATCGAGTCCAGTGTTAGGCTCCCTGCGTGGACCCTGCTTCTTCCTCTGCCTGTGTCTCTGCCTCTCTCTCTGTGTCTCTCATGAATAAATAAATAAAATCTTTTTTTTTTTTTTTCTTTTTTTTTTTAAGGGAGAAGCAGACTCCCTATGTGAGCCCGATGTGGGACTCAATCCCAGGATGCTGGGGTCACACCCTGAGCTGAAGGCGGACCCTCAACCACTGAGCCACTCAGGTGTCCCTTTTTTTTTTTTTTTACATTTTAAAAAAGTTTTTAATTTTAAATACAGTATAGTTAACATATGGTGTCATATTAGTTTCAGGTGTGCAATATAGCGATACAGCAGTTCTGTACATTTACTTACTCCTCATCATGATAAGTGTACTCTTTAAGCCTCTTCACCTATTTCACCCATCTCTCCACTCACCATTACCTGTATTTTTCCCACTGTTCCATCCAGTCTCCCAGGAGGAGTGGTAATCCTATGCCTAATGCTCACAAGATTCCTAGGAGACTGGTTATGAGGCTCTCCTGGTTTGAATGGATATGAGATTTTCCTGTAGGATCTTAAGGTGTTTTCTTGTCTCTTTAATTTTGTTTTAGAGAGAGAGAGAGAGAGAAAGTGAGTGAGGGGAGGGGCAGAGAGAGAGAGAAAATTTCAAGCAGGCTCCTCCATGCTCAGTTCAGAGACTGACGTGGGGCTCAGTCTCTCAACCCTAAGATCATTCTGAGCTGAAAATCAAGAGTTGGACACTTAACTGACTGAGCCACATAGGTGTCCCTCTTGTCCATTTTAGTTTGACTTTCCATCCTTCTAGGATGGTGTCCCAGGAATTGTCTGAGGCACTTGTTAAAAGAGCTAGAGTTCAATCCTGGGTGCTTAAGAGATTTTGGTTTTGTTTTCTAAGGTGGGGCTTTAAAAAAAAAAGGGAGGAAAAGAAAATCATCCTAAAATAAGTACTTTAGGTAATTCTTTTGTTGATGATCCAGAGCAGGCTTTAAGGAATGTCCCTGGTAAATATCTCTAGTTCCTTCAGTGATTTCTCACAGGAAATAGTTCAAGCCCCTCCTCCCTCTGATTTTTTTTTTTTCTTACTTGGCAATTGGTTGCTTATAGATTTACTTGCATTTGCTTTGGCTTATGATTTAATTGATTAATTTATTCTCATATCCAATTCAAAATAGTGAAGGGAAGGTGCTTGGATGAGTTAACTGAGGAGTACTTTTTCTGCTTTTTTCTCTCTAGTAGGCTTTGGTAGATTTCTGTGGGGATATTACTTTTTTTTCTTATCTTTTTGTTTAACTTCAGACATAATCTTTCTGTTGACCTCTTCTTATGACATTTGATGAGGCCATGCTAGCTCACTCTTTCCTCTTTGCTTTGAATTTAACACCCTGGTCAGGAGTGCCATGCTATTTGGGCTTCATTTATAGATTAATTATTTGACATCTCTGAGGCATAAATGGTTACTTTTCGACCTCCTGCAATTTGGAAGAAAAAAATCAGGTGTTTGCCTGAAAGTGAATTGTTCACGTGGGGCCTCTTAATAATTTGATGTGATTTGGTAGACAGGACTAAGAGTTAGTATAGGTACTACCTAGATGTGATGCTGCTTGAGTAATTTTAAGTCTGTTTTTCTCCTCTGCCCAACCCCTCTTGCCTTTAAAAAAAAATGCTGCCCTTTTCACCTCTTAAAATTTTCCTAAGGCTCAAGCAGGGGTGGGAGCTGTGACTTGTCCTCAGCCAACAGTGATATCATTATTGACTAAGGCCAAATACCGCTTGAATAAGTAGTTAGTACTTAGGACTCACGGGACACATGGATATCTTACATAAAGGTTAAGCTCCTTTCTGGGATTTTGAGATTTGTAGGGGTGTTTGTGCTGGAAGGCTAATTTCTAGCCTCTATATTTGAGAAGTCAATTGTTGAACTTTATTAAGGTTTCTTTACATAGAGAGGACTTTACAGCACAGCTCAGTCACATTTGCAGATTATCAGAAGTAAATTTTAAGACTTGTTTTGACATCCTCATGTGTGTTTATCTAATCCTCACATGTCATAAGCCCTCAATAACACTACAGAATTGTTTTTCAGAATCAAGAGACCTGGGCTCATCTCCTTCCTTATCACGTCCAGTCAAGTCCAGCCAACTGGGAATTATTTTCTATTAAGTGTTAGAATCCAACACTGGAAGAGAGTGCTCTGCACCGGAAGTTAGGAGACTGAGCTGGGTGACCTGTCATTGATTGGATGACTTTCAGCAAGTCTTCCTTTCTGGGGTTTAGGTTCCCTGTCTTTATAATAACCATGCTGATTTGGATGGTCTCTGCACTCTTTTCAGCTCTGTGAAGATTCTATGATTCTGTTAAGTGTACTGCCATTCTGTAATATGTATGTATGTATGTATGTATTTATTTCTCTCTCCCTCCCTCTCAGGCAGATGTTTGGAGTATGGGCATACTCTTATATGTACTTATGTGTGGCTTTCTACCATTTGATGATGATAATGTTATGGCTTTGTACAAGAAGATTATGGTGAGTATCACAAGACATAGAATTTCAATGTACAGATTTTATATTGCATACTATTTGCTTCTGTCTATAAAAGTACAATAATAGGCAAAAGTAATGTGTACTGTTAGAGGTCAAGATAGTGCTTATGCTTTGGAGGAAGGAATGAATGGAATATGAGGGAGGTCCTGTTCAGTTTCTTGATTTGGGTTCTGGTTATACTTGTGTATTCAGTTTTTGAAAACTTGTCCAAGTGTGTCCTCATAATATGTATACTGTCCTTGTGTATATTATGCTGCTTGGGTAAATATCTCAATAAGATAAAGACAAATGAGGAACTAAACAGGTAAGATGATTTTTCTGCTAAGAGTTTTTATTTTGTATCCTGAAATGACACCGTGATAATTTACTGGATTAAATCACATTCTCCTATTGAATTCTGGTAAAATAAGAGAAAGTTTTTTTTTTTTTTAAGGTAACATTTGGCTTTAAGGTTTACTAAAACTACAGTTAAGAGCACTGTTAGCTTTGTTAAAAATCATATCTATCAGAGACAGAAAGTAGATTTGTGGTTGTGGAGGTTGGGGATGGAATGGCAGTGGGGGAGCGGCTAAGGGATACAGGGTTTATTTTTGGGGTGCAGAGAGCGTTCTGGAATTATATAGCGGTAATGATCATGCAACTTTGTGAATATACTAAAAACTACTGAGCTATACATTTAAAAGTGAATTTTAGGTTATGTGAATTATTTTCAATTATTATTATTATTTTTTTAAGATTTTATTTATTTATTCATGAGAGAGAGGCAGAGACACAGGCAGAGGGAGAAGCAGGTTCTACGCAGGGAGCCTGACGTGGTACTCGATCCCTGGTCTCCAGGGTCACGCCCTAGGCTGAAGGCGGTGCTAAACCGCTGAGCCACCCGGGCTGCCCTGAATTATTTTCAGTTAAATCCTCAAAATCGTATATAGCAAGGAAAATTGTAAAATTCTTTTTTTTTTTTTTAATTTTTTATTTTTTATTTATTTATGATAGTCACAGAGAGAGAGAGAGAGAGAGAGAGACGCAGAGACATAGGCAGAGGGAGAAACAGGCTCCATGCACTGGGAGCCTGATGTGGGATTCGATCCCCGGTCTCCAGGATCGCGCCCTGGGCCAAAGGCAGGCGCCAAACCGCTGCGCCACCCAGGGATCCCAAAATTGTAAAATTCTTTTTAAAGATTTAATATTCAGGGATGCCTGGGTGGCTCAGGGGTTGGTGCCTGCCTTTGGCCTAGGGCGTGATCTTGGAGACCTGGGATCGAGTCCCACGTTGGGCTCCCTGCATGGAGCCTGCTTCTCTCTGCCTGTGTCTCTGCCTCTCTCTCTCTGTGTCTCTCATGAATAAATAAAATCTTTAAAAAAAAAGATTTAATATTCAAAGCAGGATAACACAAGAAGATATCTAAAAAGGAAGAAAGCACCATTTTGTGTCCCTAGCAAACCAGGGTCAGACCTGCAGAGCAGCTTCTCTCTGTGTTTTGAATTCAGTTCTGTTGAAGAAGTATTTCCTGAAGGTCGTCTTTGTATGAGATACTGGAAGGCATGAACAAGGATCTGTGAAACTTGATCATTGTCCACTGGGCCTGATTTTTTGTTGGAGACAGATACAAGGCTATCTAAAGAGGGCAAAGGGTCTGGGATGCCATGTTATAACAGAGATAGAAATGAAGTTAATATAGGAGTGGGTGAAGGGTTTGGGAGAACACATATTAGAGGAAGTGAGGTTTGAGCAGGGCTTTCAAAAAAAGGGTAGAAGTGCTTCAGAAAGGGATGTGGGAGAGAGCACGCTGATAGAGTAGATAGTATGAGCAAAGATAGAAGATAGGAGAAGCATGGGGGAAAATGGTCTGATGTTTTATATGCTGGACCACTGGGTCTCTAAAGCCCTTTAGGTAGGGAGATTATCTAAATCAACTCTTATTTTTGGGACGTGGTACATGAGTTGAAAGTGGTAATCCCAGGTGGCTCATTTCTTACCCTATAGGAACAGGTTTAAGGGCACTGCGTTCAGACTTCAGTTTTTAAATTTATTTGGCTTACTATTTATTTCCTAAATCCCACCCTAGAAAAACTTTTAAAATCCATGCCAAAATTACAAAGAGTAGTTTTGGGAAGAGATGAAGTTGTAGTAGTTCCAATTCTGAAGGCTAAGTAGCTCTGATTCTGCAATCGAATGAAAGTAGGTTAGCAGTAGCTGTTACCACTGCTTTGGGGAAACATATGTGTGTGCTTCTCCTTGGGAAGGGAAGCTGGATGGGGCAGTAGGCTGGTGGCAGGCTCCCTGAGGCTGGCTGGAGGTAACCAACAGCCTGTATTTCCTCCTTTCCCTAAGCATTGCAGGGTAGCAGTTGTTGCTTTGGCTCTGCGCTAAGCTCACTGCGGTAGCAAGCAGTTCCTGATTCCAAAGAGCCACACCCTACTCTGTCAACAACAGAATATGGGAGAGAATAGTTAGGATCACTTCATAGCTTCAGCTTTACCTAAAACAAGTGAAGTGGGGTGAAGGCTGGTCTTTGGGCAGCTCGGCAATAATTTTGCAGTTATGCTTTTTAAAAAAAAAATTGGGTTGGCCTCTTCAATTATTCACTCTTTTTGCTACTTTTTTTCTGTAGAGCAATGTTTCTTGTTCTGAAAATAATTTTAGTATTGTAAGCTACTATTATATTTTACCCCCTTCTTTTTTTTTTTTTAAGAATTTCATACAAGAGAAATAACTGACATTTCTCCTAAGATGAACTAGAAGTGGATCTGTTAGGTGGTACAGCATGAAATCTTGTATCGTTTAGAATTCTAGAAAGACAGTAGGGGGATACATAATCGTGGAAATTCACTGTTGGAAAGGATCTTACAAATCATGTTTTCTCACCTCTGTTTCTTTTTTTTTTTTTCCTCACCTCTGTTTCTTGTTTCATATTAAAATCATGACAAACATCTCTTGCCTTGGCTATGTCCATGTAATTTTTCTGCACATTACCATCACTTGGGATGCTTTAAAATACATTAGGTTCAGCCCCCAGAGCAATTAAATCAGAGTCTTACTGGGTTTGTGTGTGTGTGTGTGTGTGTGTGTGTGTGTGTGTGTGTGTGTTTGGTATTTTTAAAATCTGGGATCTCTGCTTTCTGTTAGTGGCAGAATATGGCAAATTACTGGGCCTTTCTGAGTCTTAGTTTCTTTCTCTGTAAAATGGATAGAATGATAGTTTTTACAATATAGGGTTGTTAGAATTAAATGGGTTAAGCCATGCACAGCATTAGAGTAGTGCTCAATAAATATTTGCTATTATTATACACACATATGTCTAAATTTGGTTTGCCAGTATTTTGTCCAGAACTTAAAATTTGCTCATAGATTAATGTGGACTTTCTTTTCTTAAACTATTTTGTTTTTTTTTTTTGGTTTCAAGATTTTACTAGCCACATAAAGTTAATTGAAGGATATTCTTCGTTTTACTATTTGTTTTTGTTTCTTGGGGGAGAGTTTAAGATTAGAATTTTTAGGGATGCCTGGGTGGCTCAGCTCAGAGACATAGGCAGAGGGAGAGGCAGGCTCCATGCAGGGAGCCCGATGTGGGACTCCATCCTGGGACTCCAGGATCAGTCCCTGAGCTGAAGACAGATGCTTAACTGCTGAGCCACCCAGGTGTCCCAAGTCTATAGTCTTTTGAAGGTATAGCTAATATGATTTGCTGATGAGTGGGATAGGGGAATAATCTGAGTAATTGGAAAATTGGAGCTGCCATGAACTGGGATGAGGAAGACTCTTGGTAGAGCAAGGATGATCAGGAGTTCAGGTTGGACACAAAGAATGTGCCCATTTTGTTTAATTTCTCAGTTATTGGTATAAGATTGTTGATGAGGGACTAAGTATGTATCAGATTTTTATGTATTTTTTTCAGATTATACATTTATAAGGAATTATATATTATATCTTTTTGCTATTCCATTTACATTTTTTTCTTTTATTTTCTTTTTAAGATTTCATTTATTCATTCATGAGAGACACACAGAGAGAGAGAGAGGCAGAGACACAGGTAGAGAGAGAAGCAGGCTCCCTGCAGGGAGCCCGATGCAGGACTCGATCCCAGGACCCTAGAATCATGTCCTGGGTGGAAGGCAGATACTCAACCACTGAGCCACCCAGGCGTTCCCATTTATAGTTTTTTCACACACATGAATGGAAATTTCCTGAGGTTATAGCTATGCTAGGGACAAAAGTGACTGTCAGTATAACTGGAGGTAGAATCGATATTCTTTTGTAAACAGAGACTTCTAAGGATACTTGATTTCTTGATGAGTATATGGGAATTTTAGTCAGACATTATGACATAAAGGATCACTATAATAATTTTATCTAGGAAAAGTTTTGAATATTCACCTTGGCAATGCAAAGGCTCAATAAAGATATCTGACTTTGAGGGCCCTGGATGGCTCAGTTGGTTAAGTGTCTGCTTTTGACTTAGGTCATGATCCCAGGGTCCTGGAATTGAGCCCTGCATCAGGCTCCCTGCTCAGTGGGGAGTCTGCTTCTCCCTTTGCCCCTCACCCTGCTCATGCTCTCTCTCTCTCAAATTAAATGAGTAAATAAAATCTAAAAAAAAAAAATCTGACTTTGAACAAACTACCACATATCCCATGGATATCCACCTAGTAAAACAAAATAAGGTACTGTATGGATTTACCAACTATAAACTTTGATTTTAGAATAATTATATCTCTTTTTTATAGTGATGATTATATAGGCTGTAATCTTTGATTTGCAATGTTAAAATGTTGTAATCCACATTGTAAGAAGACTACTTGGCAGGAGGTCATGCATTCAGGTCTTCTTCAAGTAATATTGAGGCAGTAGGGACAAGTTAAACAGAGGGGTAGGTGGACCAGGGGTTGAGGGTGGGATATATTATTATCCTACCCTATTGGAAAGTAGTAGTTGATTTGTCAGGAAATTGTTGCTACCAACTCTGACTCCTGAATTAGTAGCA